GGTATAGTAGCTATCAATCGAAACCATATGTTCAAATCTACGAAGACTTTAACCAATGGGACTGACAGAAAGACTCAGAGTGTATTGACAAAGAATCAGTGTGTATTATCAAACTTATTGTTATAGGGCATATAATTTTAAGATAAGTTGAACTTTGTCACGTTGACTGATCTTTAAAAAGTTCAAATGACATGATAAAAGAGCTTAAATGCGATGAAGTCACATATACTTATGGAGATCACTTATAATTATGTAAACAGGCCGCCTGAAGCATCATGATTACATATGTAATTTTGGGGAATCATGAATAGTAAGGGTTTCAGCCGTCATGCAATTAAACATAAACGTTTCCAATATATGTTCCATGAAAATATAAACCCCAGAACAACGATTTAAAGGCCATTTCCTATAGCATAGTGCTCCCCTTCTCCCACAAAGTGAAAGAACGTGTGTTGCATGATGTGTAATGTTTTGCGCAGAAAACCCGCGCTCGCTAGTAATCATTACAACAGCATTCGCAGATCCGATTTCTTGTGCTATTTAGTACAGTACGTGTAATAGAGATATAGTGGTTATAGGATTGTGATCGACTTGCATGCATTTATGGTTCATAGTTGATCTAAAAGTTTGTTACGTCATTGTACACACGTGCAGCATTGGGATTTTCGAACTCAATAAACTATAAAGCAAATGATTTCGACGGGAGCAAATTTCTGAAAGGGGGCCAAATCTCCAAGGAAATATGGCCCGGGGGCAAAATTTGCGGGGGGGGGATAACTATTCTTGGGATACCGGTATATATTGGCGCGGCGCGTTGGTCGTAGGTAGAAAAGCCTAGCTTGCGAGGTTGCTGGTATAGCTGGGATATTTATCAATATTTGAAATTATTCGACCTTATATAAGTTGTTTTCCTAGCAGAGCATACGAAACTTATTCAGTCGTTCATTTAGTATATAACTATATGCTAGAACATACATAAGTTCAAATTAACTTCTGTATATAACTATATTATTTTCTTTGTATTGTTTGGGTGACGGGTCTGATGGAAATCAGAAATCCGTTGGCGTGACCAACGTTTTTAGAGCCTGTTTAAGCCGGTTTTCCACTAGCGATAATTTTCGCGCGAAGTGCATGACATTTTACTTTTGTTTTTAGAGCTCTCAACTGCAACTATCTAGAACGAATTGCTCACATACAAAGGAATAAATTCGCTTCGCGCGAAAAATATCGCTAGTGTAAAACAGGCGTTACATAGAGCGAGTTATCGCGGCTAAGCAAGGTGAAAACTGCATATAATGAAAGATATAATAAGGTTAAGCCTTTGATGTGATGCGCTTTTTACCTCGCCTAGATAACTCGCTCGATGTAAACAGGCCCTAATAACATATATATTATGCCCATATGATTCACCTCATTATATGGGACTGATGAAGTGCAGGCGTTTGCGGTGCATAATTCGCATGCAGGGTGCCTGGGTTGTATTACATTCATATCTTCGTTATCATAAATAAAAGATATGTCAGATGTTTGAATTTTAATCATATCGCTGCATGCATGCATGCACCATGCATGCACGTGTATTTATATATGTATAGCCTCTCTATATATTTTATCTATTTTAAGGTCTATAATTATACGTGCAGAGATATCGACAAAACGTGCTGCAATCAAAAAATTGTATTTCATCGCTATCACTGTCTTTCGACACAGGTTTCACGTACTCGTTTTTGTACAATCTTCAGGCGATAACTATTTTCGCACGCGATCCAGTTTCAACGGTTTGCGCGCACGTCTTTTTGATCGATTACCCGTCGTTATCATTAAGGTTGTCACCTGGAAATATATATAAATAGGTAAATATCGATCACGCGATTGTACTGCATACGTTAGTTTTATGAGAAATATTTGGAAATCTATCTTGAAAATTTCATAAAGTGTCATAGTAAGGTGAACAATATTGATAATAATAAAGAAACTAGAGGTAAGTGAACAATATAAGCCATGTTTAATAGTCACGTGATTGATATTTCTATATTTCTATATAAATACATATATATATAAATATATATATATAAATATATATATATATATATATATATATAATATATATAATTATATATATATATATTTTATATATTTGTTTATTAACATGGACAACCTTAATGATAATATATATCGATTAAAAATGAGAACGTTTAATCGAGAGTTTTGAAAGCGATCAATATTCTTTTTTGCTTACCGAACACGCATTCACCGTCTATATAGTTACATGTGTCGCATATATTGCATGCAAAATCATAGATATTACGCTTAACTATATATTCGCGAGTTTTGATATTCCACCGGAAGAGTTGCTTCTTGCATGCATACATGGAACATGCCGTTTCCCTCCATGCATTAACGCAAGATCTAGACAGATTGGCCGCGGTCACGAAAGCCAAAAGCTATGTTTATACTGAAAATGTGATGCTTATCCGTGAACCTTTTCGCCTAATTTACTTTTCCCTCTTCTAGTTTATCCACTTGTGCTAGTCCGCGTATATTTTATCTATTCGACTAGAGCATTCCTAAACTGCATGCAAAATATATGATGTCGTGCGTGACATGTGAATTGCGCTCGTGTAAAGTGAAACCCGACCATCTTGGCTTTGCCTTACCTGTAAAGGCCATGCATAATTCATTACTGATCAGTATCTTATAGCTTTTACGTATAAATATCTGAAAGTCGGGTCCGGAATTGTTTGCAAGAACGATAATTAAGCTCCTGAAAGAACGATAAGCTCCCGCTTGAGTTTACAGGATTCGCTGGCGTCTATATAGACATCGTTCCATGTTGCTCAATCGCGGCTGTGGCGACAGATTTGAAAGCGCGATATCGTGGCTGAAGCGGATTAAGCCTGCAAATAAGCCTATTTTCATAATACGACTACATAAATATATATACATAATTAAAGAAACCGTCTCGAAGTTCAATATTAATTTGTGCAAATTTTGAGTGGGTGTACATATTGCGGATTCGCCGCAAATTTGTGTCTGACCGCATTGTGTAAGACTTGATATCGTGCTGCATTAGTAACTATTTAAGCTATATCTTATGGCCACGGAGTAATTTTTCAACTTGGAATGCATTACCTTAGTCTGAAGAGGAGCTTGATTATATCAAACTGCGGAAACAGAGTAATTCACCGTATGATTTAGCGGGTTCATACGTTGCAATCGCACATGTTCATTGAATAAATAAATATAGCTACTCGTCATCGCACAAAATAAAACAATATATCTGTCAAGTATACACATCGAGAGTGATGATTCCAGGTAATATATACGAATATATTTTAATAACTGCATGTATACACTTCGTTCTCGACTGATAAGGCTGAACTTATAATTAATCACCAAATTAATATCGTTGATATATAGCTATTTGTAACGTTTATCTAGCAATACCCACATCATGCATGTGCTTGCCAAACGAATGCGTCTTCCATTTTCCACCCATGCAATAGCCGTTTATAGCTATCATCAGTTTTATTCAACACTTCCGCCATGCATGACCAAAATGTACGTTGAAGTTAATATAATCTCTATAAGGGGGATAATATAATCTCTGTAATCTCTTGATACTGGGAATTTTGATTTCACAAAGATCGCGCGTATATTTAACTAGTGTTTGGTATTGCATGGCCTTCTTTAATGCAATTTTGAAAATGGGTATTAATAGAAACAAAATCTTTTGTTATCCGATCACATGCAAGTTAGTTACATTACTATAGCTTTCTTTTAGCCTAATCTTGCTCATGTTTATATCTTGTAGGGAACCCAGACTTATCTCATGCAGCGAATTCTTTAAATGGGCTGCTTTAGCTACTTCCAAATTTTTATCATTTAACAGATAGGTCAATTTAATGCGGAAAACTAAGTTCTTTCCATTTATTCACCTGGCTTTTTTTAAATATGACATATATAAGGATTTAGACCTATTCCATTTTGAATGGGAAGAAGCACTCTATTTTGGAACGGATAAATCGAGGTCGCCATCTTTAAAGCAAATTCCACGCCGAATTGATGGCCAGTGCCATTCTCTTTCTTGTCAGCGTTGTGGTTGAGCGTGCCGAAAATAATGGACTGCGTAACTGCGTTAATTGCGATGATTTTTGCACCTGGAGGATCGATCATTCTACATCATATTCTATACACTTTAATAAACTGGCATATATAGCATTCATTCTACTACTGCATATTGGTGGCAATAAGCTGTTAGTGTGAATTTCGATCAGTTACCTAAACGTTTGAAAATTACTCGCTGCAAAAATATAATTTGACGAGGTTTATATGGCTAAATTTGGAACTTTGGAGCTTCTCGTCCTACTCATGGAAACCTCATCATGCAAAATGTTATTTCTGTTGCCTTATTTTTTAGCTAGTGTTTTTTAACTGTTATCCGTATTGCCCATACACGTTTGGACACTGACCAGCCAGAAATTCTGTTAAATTAAATTGCAGTTTTTTTTTGGCAACCCAAATTCACCGCAGTATAAAATCTACAATATGATGTGGAATGATTTAAAATTGATCTTAAATTTTATCGACTGTTTTCAATTATGGCACTGAAAAAGTGCCATCCTAAGTACAATTTTTTTACTACATGACGCAATCATCAATTCCGCATTATTGCAATTCTGGCACTGATCCTCCATCGTCGGGTTCGAGTTGGCTTCAAAGATGGCGGCCAAACAACCGTCAGTTATCGTCCAGTTCAAAAAGAGTTCTTTGACAGCACCATGCACACAACACGTTCGCGTTTCTACCGTGTGTCCTGCATGGATTGAGTGAAAGCTCGGGGTCACAGCTTTTTTAATTTCTCTGGCGAAAGAAAGCGGATAAATAAAATCTATTGCAGGCCTTCGATATTTGGATGTTCGTCTAGTCTGGGTACGTTTTGGGTCATGCACTCAGTAATTTGAGGTGAAATTGTTTTAGGAAGTATTTAATGCTCCAATAAGCGCCGTAACACCTATATTTTAAACCAGCAGTCACAATACATCGCATTTCAATTTTGCAAATAGATTGCGAAGTATCGTGATCGACCGAGTGCTGTTAATATTTGTAACAACTATATATATGCTTAATATACGCTCTATAGTAATGCCTTATGAATGTAACACGCTATATTCGTCAGGGGATGCCATGCATGGGGCAGTGGAGTTGTTACTTCCGTAGACAATTGTGCATGGACTTGTCAAATGTCAGTTATGCTCGCTTTATCGCTGCAAAATCGCAGAGCTGTAGAGTTTTGGTTGTAGAGTACTTGATATTGTCTTGTCTAAAATCACATCTATGATCGAGTATAGAAGCAATCTCATGCAAGCGATTTGCCGATTTAGAAATAAACTTTTAGCGGATTTCGTTTTTGAGACATATAATATGTATTACCGACAAGGCGACAACAAGTTGAAGAAATTCACTTTTATGTAAACGGTTGATTAGAAATAAACTTAGCGAGTATAAAGTCCTTAGCGGGTATATATATATAAAGCCTTTCGCATATCTATAGCGAACTATATATATATACATATTTTTTACCTATCCTAAAATTTTACGTTGAAAGACCAGTTTAAATCAGGCCAAAGATAAAGACAATGGGGTATGTTCATCAATTATCGTCAAAATGCACATAGCGACACGATTACTAACTGACACGACATCTACTATACTTTTCTATGTATTTGTTTGAAGAAGCATTTAACACAACCGAGATTCAACGCAACCGTACAAAACAGGCCTATCGAGGTTAGAACAAACATTTCTTTTAGCCCACCGCGTTCTTGTTGTTGCCAATCAGACGTCATGTTTACCACACTCTTTTGTTTCTAATCTGTCCTTTGTTTTCGTTCAATTACTTAAACAAATTCGTTTCTCTTTCCGTTTGCATCGAACTAATTAAAATTAAAAGAGTTTCAAGTCCTTTCTGATCACAATCAAATGAATTCTAAGTGGTGTTTTGTATGCATGATCAGCATCAACCCAAATTTGGAATAGACGCCGTCGTAAAGGCGGTGTTGCGCGGACAATTAAGCAACAATTTGTATAACTTCTAGCGAAAACTCGCGTGAGGTTTAGCGGTTTTAGAACTCATGAAGTGACCTCGTGTGGTTCTGCGTGTTTATCTTTTAGTCTACACCAGATAAATTTCAACCGCGGTCTTGTTTAACGTACTTCCAACTGCGAGAACTTCATTATGTTCCGTTTCGATTAGATTTTTGTTGTTGACATACCTCCCCCCGCTGTTTAAAGACCGGTTTTGACATCAAGGCTTGCATCGGCAAACATCTGTCACATTCTACTCGTCACCATTTTATGCACAAGGCCCGAATTTTACATCCTCAATCGTGTGGAAGTTTTTATAAAAGGGAACCTCGGGCCAGCTGCGAGTTAAGTCGTCCGCGATCGAGGCCAGATAAAAATACACGGCATATTCGATGTTTATCGATCGAAATTACGCGAATGAATTGTAATATTAATCTAAAAAGCCAACGCATTAACCTTGACGATGTAAACATGACGGACAGACTTCTCGTTGCTAATGTTATAGCGAAAAGTGTCAAGACAAGAGACGCCTTCTAGAACAACGCAAGTAGGAGCGTACGTGTGCGTACATCGGAGATCGGTTATCACCTCCAGGCTGACCATATTGACAGGATTTCTTTTGAATGCAAATAATTTGCTGATAAAGTATGGTAAGTGCTCATGCGATACACCCGTGAGATTTCACTAGTTCCCACTTCGACAAGTGCGTTAGTTACGGAAATATTTGCGGGCGACAAGCGCTAACCATATGTGTACCAACGCTTCCTTTTATAGTACGGCTTCATACACTGCTGTCTCGCCGATATGGTTATCGGTGGATTCGGTGAGGAAAAATGGCGTGAAATTATGTGAGTAACATTTCACGATAACCCAACGTGATAATGAGTCGTTTGGCAATTAAACAGCTCTGCTCAAATTACTGGCGTAACGCGCTTGCTCCTATTTCTGTAGACATAAGGCAGGCGTGGAATTGGAAGGAGGCTCCTACCTCATTCATAAGATCTACAGCGACGCGGAAACACTAAAACTTGTCGGAACTGCTTGTGAAGTTCTGGGTGAGTGAGATTATACATTATACTATTGAATAAGCGTTGGCACGAAGTTTTAAAATTATTTATCGCTCAACGTATTATTAGTCAGGCCACATGATTGTCTGCCAGTTTTCGCGGGGTTCTCGTGTTGAATATACGGGTAATCTCGAATGATTTCTTCTTGATGTATATAGCCCACTGCTCACTGTGTTATCGATGTTGTTATAACGAAATTTTTAATTAAGATCAATAGGACGGTATGGCTTGTGTTAATATTTGATGTTATGGCAAAAGTAACTTTTACTGATTACTGATTTCTAGCTCAAAAAAGCGTCTTGCATCAAATAGCATTTATATCGACCCTAAACTTCAGGCAACCCGAAGGCGACGACCAAGCACCCTACGTATAAATGCTTGTAAAAAAATATGTCGTATATATAAACAATCGCATGGATTTTAATAATCGGTACAAGAAGTCGAAAGAATTGATTTATGTTTTGAAATTAATTTCGTTGAGCTGCGGCCAACTTGAAATAACATTTTCTGCGCCCTAATATGCGGACGTTGTACACAAGACGCAAACTTGACAATTGCATATATAACAGAGCGTGAACAGAGTGTAAAACTGCAAGTCTTTTATACATTTTTTTAAAAAAGTCTCTCACTCACTGCGTCGTAGTCCTTTATTTTTAAGTCCTAATATTAATTGTGCAGATATTGAGGGTCGTTGATAGATCACGCGTAATATCGCACGGTACGTGCTGACGGTGCACTTTACAAGAATAGAATAGAATAGAAATAGAAGTAGGTATCTCATAAGCAACGCCAAATTGTCACGCTGCTCAGTTGGGAAAAGACTTTGGTATAAGGAACATTATATCTTTTCTCACGCCTATGTTACCATTCGATCAACACATTTGCAATTTTGTATGCGGCATCACGTCACACGCGAGTATTATAACGTAGGGGTCACCTATTTGCACTGATAGGGTGATGAGCGGCAGGGGGCGTAACTGTTGGGGGGGTGTGGGGGGGTGTGACACCCCCCAATTGTTGAAAACAGTGTTTTGGTAGGGCAATTTGTTGGGAATTTGCAGGGCAGACCGCTGGGTTCAGGCTGGACAATTTTTGCCCAAATTGATAAAAAAAACCATATGAATACTAAACAAACTAACGAAACTTTAAATTTACATGTAGCTATAAGAATTGTAGGTTAGTAAAATCGATCCAAATAGGGGTTCGCTGGTTAGAGAGACTGCAAATGTGCAGAACTTGAGATTTTTCAGTTAACTTAATTTGCAGGAGATATCGCTTCTTGAAAATCAGTTCGGGTGCGGGAAGTCTTGAAAATTAGGCGTGGGTGCGACTTACAATTCGAGAGAAAGTTGTCAGTCTGAGAAGGCCGTTTCCGACGATCTAGAGGACCGAATTTTCGAAAATCTTTCTCTCGGCGCCAACCATGGTGGCGCCTCGTAGATTTCAATAATTTCCGAAATATATATCAAAATCTCGCTTTCAGTTTTATGCAGCCGGGTTTGCGTAATAAATATATAACTGTCTCACAGCCTATCAAAAAGAGCTATAATTGCATTTGGTTGCCACGCCCTTTTCCGCGTATTTGTTGCAGGTCACGCCCTTTGGTAGGGCAAATTTGCTTCACACCCCCCCAACGCTTAGGGTCAAGTTACGCCCCTGATGAGCGGTCTGAACTAACTGAAAACAGCTGCGGACAGTTTGTTGGCTTTTTTTTGGGCAGTACATATTTTTCCGCCATATTTAACGTCTAAAAAATGGCTGGAAAACGTGAAGATATAGATCATACTCATTGGTCATTATAGGATTTCACAGGATAATAACTACCAAGAACAGAATACGTTGCAAGCATTATCTAGCTATAATTGTGGCAAAACTGCATGCTCTCAGTAATTAAATATTCCCATGAATCGTACGTAAGCCTATAATATATAGCATATGCGATTAGGACCGGTAAAATTCGTCCATTGTACAGAAATCTAAACTGGCTTAAATGAACTGACCATCATAGACCTTGTCAAAAATTTAAATATCTAATATCTTGATCGGTTCTTGTAAAATTTTAAGTAGGAGCAAAAGCTGTCCACCGTTCTGGAATAAGACTATGTCAGTTTTGGGTTCGCCCTTTTGAAACCTTAACTACTTAGAATGTTTTTATTAATCGTTAATTGAGAAAAAAAAACCCAGCAAAAAATTGTGCCAGGACTGCAGGACACCGCTGTGTAGAAACAAACTCGCTTGGCACAATTCCCCACTTCGCCATGTTCGCAATAATCCAAGATGTGTGGCAATATACCTGAAGATCATGTAAAATGCTTATAGTCAAAATATAACAGGTCAAAGCAAGGAATGAATAATACCTAACAAAATTTTATCGTTAAATTTAATGTTTAATGTAACGAGTTGGGAAAGACTCCGCAAACAAACGTTCGTAAGGATTATAAATCAAAAGATGGTTCGGGTATATTGTTGATTATTACATTGATAGAGCAGGGAATAGCTGCAAATTCATTCGGGCATAACAGAAAACAATGAATTACTGATATTTTCTGATCTCTTAGGGCTGGATGTTAATGCAGCTTTGGAAGGCTTTGGTGCGCATTTCTTTCGTTACACCGTACAGTCTGGATATGATCAAATTCTACGTGTTCTTGGAAGAAACCTGCAAGACTTTCTCTGCAACTTGGACGCCCTTCACGACCACTTGGCAAACATCTACCCAGGAATGGAAGCGCCTTCGTTTCGTTGCACGGAAGCAGAGGACGGTGCATTGCTTTTGCACTACTATACAAGACGTTCGGGACTTGAGTCTATCGTGATTGGCTTGGTTAAGACGATTTGCTCAGATGTGCTTCACACCGCGGTTACGGTGAATATATTGCAGAAAAAAGGCGAGAATGGCAGTGATCACACGATCTTTGCCATTTATGAAGAGAAAGACAAAACAAACGAGTCCAAACTTGGTTTGCTTCAAATCGAGAATGAAACGAATGGGGACTTCAATGCGAACTACTTGAAAGGAAATGGTATCGCAAATAATCCAATGAATGTGATGTCATTCTGCAAGGCGTTCCCTTTCCACGTCCTTTTCGACGAAGATTTGACGATAATTCAAGCTGGTGTTGCTATATTAAGAGTTCTCAACAAGCAATCGTCGGATAAATTAAAATTCACCGAGGTTTTCAACTTGCAGCGGCCAAAGTTAGCCTTAAGCTTTGCACCCATCCTGGCACATATCAATACTGTATTCGTCGTGGAAACCAAGGACGGAATAATCCCATGCGGGGCATGTGGACCAACGCATTCGTCTTGTTCGGCCTGCGGAAAGCCGGGCAGGGTGAAAGGGCTAAAAATACGACTTAAAGGGCAAATGGTGCATGTCCCTGAATCGAAAGCACTGTTATTCCTCTGTTCCCCAAGAGTCGCAGACCTCGACGCGCTGCGTGCGCAAGGACTTTACCTAAGCGACCTACCGCTTCACGACGCCACGCGGGACCTCATCTTCATGACGCACACTCGAGGCGCAGAACGCGAGCTGGTCGAGCAGCTGGAGGAGACGAGCAACAACTTGAAAAAAATGGAATCTTGTTTGATCGAGGACAAAAAGAGGACGGACGATCTACTGCATTCTATCTTACCGCCAAATGTTGCCGAAAAATTACGCGTTGATCAGGCAGTCGAAGCGGAAAATTACAAACTGGTCACAATTTTGTTCAGCGATATCGTGGGCTTCACCGCACTTTGTTCCAACGATCAAGTGGTTCCCATGGATATTGTGCGCATGCTCAACAAATTGTACACTTATTTCGACTTATTAAGTGGTGTAAACGAAGTTTATAAGGTATGTTCATAAAGTATATTTCTATTTTAGATACATTATCGATCTTAGGCGTATCAATCTCGCAATCCAGGTCTGCGCTCATGCAATGCTCAGCTTTTGGTTCGACGTTTTCCTTAACAAAAGTGTATTAGTGCACCTAGATCTAGGAGTGTCCAAGAGATTACCACCCTTGGAAAATTTCGAGTTCAAGTGTAATTTTCTGCATTCTCCGTGAATATACAACACACAATTAACGATCGTTAAAAACATGCTGTATATATATGCACTGTGGGGATGCTAGTCGATAAGGGTCAGATGAGCTGAATTCTGTCTACTAACGTTATTACAGTATTTTGCGGTAATTTTAGCATTTTTGAGCTAATTAGTGAATTGTTAGCGTCATCAAAGATTGCTTCATGTATTGACGTTCTCCTGCATCATGTTTGATCGTAGGTTGAGACCATTGGCGATGCGTACATGGTTGTTGGTGGTCTTCCCACCCCTTGTGACAACCATGCGGAGAGAGTATTGAACATGGCCTTTGGTATGATGGAGACATCGATAAAAGTATTATCACCTGCTGACAAAATGCCTCTCAAGGTATGTTCGCCTTTTATCAGACAAAATTGGCATGCAGTGACACCGACGTTGCATGCACCAGTATAGTACGGATCCGTCAACCTGTGACCCTGTCTGTCGTTAATCGTCCTGGCTGGCCGGAATTTAACAAACACGTACCACGGAGGTTTTATGCCGCGGATGCATGTATGCTTCACTATATGCGCTTATAGTAAAGGTGATTCGTTCTTACAAACATTCGTTTGCGCGCTGCTTGTGTTTATAAAATGTGTTTACAAATTTAAAAAAGATCCTAAGACATTAACATTAAACCAGCAAGAATTCCCTATGTAGAGTCTTGTTAGAGGAAATTCTCAACGCCTGCACAATAATAAAGTTTATGATAACGTTAAAAATACGATATTGTTTCAAGCTGAAGCCGAATTTTAGGCTAGAAATAGGTTGAAATCCATGATCTAATGTCGAAGGTATTATCTAGATCTGGAATAATACTGTAAGCCAAGCGTGAACAGACCAGGGGAGCCTAGCTTTTTTGGTCTTTGCCATAATTTGACAACTTCCTCGTCTGATGGTCTATTATATCTATAGATCCGTATCGGTGTTCACTCTGGACCTGTTATGGCCGGTGTAGTCGGCAAGAAGATGCCAAGGTATTGCTTATTTGGAGGTACCGTCGGGATTGCAAACAAAGCGGAATCTGGGAGTAAACCTGGATTCATCAACGTCAGCGTTGAAACAAGGAAGTAAGTGAATGGTTGTTACTATAACGCGTGTAAAATTTGCTATTGTGGTAAACAAGTTGTCCTGCACGTATGCTTGAATACAGGTGACCGTAGGTTGGACTTCTACCACCACTAATGCTATGATGTGGCAGACCTTGGTATGATCGTATTTGATTTGTTCAGTTTAAAATTTTAAATTTAAGGTTTAATGAAGAGGTCCTAAGAAATGCGTAACCTTTCAGTATTATAGAATTTTCTCAATCACTGAATGTTGATCTATTTAAGAGTACAAAAATTACTAGGGGGGAAAGCTGGTGTACTTGGTCTTATATTGCCTGACAAGGACTATTATTATATACTTTTAAAAAAAGTATACACATGCGGGCAATCAGTAAGTATATAAAAGAATGTATTTGTATTTGATAAAAAAAAGACGTATTCCGATACTGCAATGAACATCGAAAATTCGTGGTGTGATTTTTCTTAAAAATCTCTGGTGAGATTTTTAAGCCATAAATAGCGATGTACATATACCTCGGAGGATGGTCTCGAATTGTGTCATATTAGATATCTGTATATTATATCCGTATATTAGAGTCCGTATTTAACGCACAATATTCCGTGCTATTTCCAGATACCTGAAAGAATCAGATTATAAATTTGAACCCAACCCGAATCCTACACCCGTTCCGTGTTTCTTCGTATCACGAAGTCCAACATCGCCAAGAAAACCTTCAATTCTCGACATCATGTCCTCGATTCCACCACATAGTTATGGCGGACTTTTTCTTTCTCCAATGTCTTCCCCTCGCAGCGGGACTCCTGTACGCCAGTCTCCGAGCTCTTCCCCACCTCCCACTCCACCCAGGCAGCGAGCAAAAAAAATGATTCAAATGTGTGCGACAGTGGATAACTTTCCCGTTGAGGATATCGCAGCGAATCTGAACATCGTGGATGCACTTCAGGACTCTTAGGTACGCTATAAGCATGCACGGAACCCGAATTACGTCTTCAGTGAATCATTATACACAGAAAACATTGATGAGAAAAGAAACGCTTAATATGCAAAACCTTTAAAATGTTGGCATGCGCTGCGTGAAGGAGTGTTATACCGTAACAGTATTCTATATATTTCTATGCTGCTGAGCCTGTGGAAAATAAATGTTTTTTGATGCCTTTTTTCGAATCACAAACTGAGAAAGCGATTGGATGGGAGGCATAGGGTGCTTTCCATGAAGCGGCCAAAATGGTCAGACTGGTCATATTTTAAATTGAAATAGAGTATTCCTTTAAAAAATATAGCGGTAAAACTGAATTTTCCGTGCTATGCGGATATAAATATCGATAAACCTGAATGCTGATTTCTTACTGAAACACTCTAAAGCTGCGTTCAGACTTCAGACTGCGAGTGCCCGAAGTTAAAACTGGTTCATAAAACATGCTGAGCACATTGCGCTTGTTGAGTAGGCTCCTACCTCTGGAGGTAGTGTCCGTTCATGGGCACTGTTCCCATTTTCATTTGGAACTTGGAAGGGTCGGGTTCAACTTAGGTATCAGAAAAAGTGACGGGAACCAGTGCCGGGCATGTCTGAACGCAGCCTGAATACCAGTAATCTTACTGAAAAATTTCTCACGGGATATGTATGAAAGAAAATCTATACTCATGCATATGAAGTCTCGAAAACAGAAAATCGCACAAACGTTTGGAACACTACTTTCCAAGAATGCATGTCTATACCCGGAAAAAGATTTTTCTATAGTTAGCGTACATTTCCAACACTACAATGCTAATATATCAACGACATTAACAATTGTAAATGCTGCATTGAATTAAATATTTTAAAGAAAATGTTCAATTGAATATTCTCATATATATAAAACAAATCTGCATGAATAATATCATATCGCAGTTATTCTGGCACGTCTTGTATGTTTCATAACTCAATCTTGAATTTGCAAGAGGGCCAAAGGATTTATATTTTGATTTAAAGATTTCATTTCAAACAAAATAATCTGCGTCAGACAACGTATGATCGTTTGATATCAGGTCATAACACAAAGATGAAGCGAAGTTAAATTGTCGATACTCCCCCAGGGTCGCCTTCGCAAATTAGTTGCGGGGTCTCTGGTTCAAATGTTCAAATCAAATATATATATATATATAATTATATATATATATATATATATATATATATATATATATATATATATATATATATATATATATATATATTTGTAATGCTCTTGCCACTGAGTGGCGAACGAAAATTGGAATTATTTAACCAGAAGGCATGCAGGTGTTCACATTTTAATTCAGTGGATGTTTTTTATATCATATGGCATTATAGACACTGTTTCCCGCCTGTTTTGCTGGTGTCTTCTTGGCAAAATAGATAATCACTTTCATCTCTTTGAAATACCCGCGAGAGCGTAATTCATCATTTACACATTTGTCATTCCCGATAACATAATATTGTTTTTAAAAAACAGTGTGTGTTTTATAATAAAGTTATAAACGCCTGACTCGGGGGAGTTAGAAATTTCTGTACTCATGTATCAAATATCGCCTTCGTCGCCATCACGCATCATCTGTTTCATCTCTTAATCCTAACAATATACTACTTTTTTTCGGAGGATAATTTATGTGACATAAACGCTCAGTTTACCCATGCAATAATACTACAATAAGAACATTCAGTCCCGACGAAAATGCTTACAGCGTCGTCAGAATGAGTGTGTAGACAGAAAGCCAAGAATCATGTTATAGAGCCATCATGTTATAGAGCCATAATATTTTCACTATAAATAATAACTATTTCTGTAAAAAACGATGCACAATAATTTCTCAATTCCCGCTAAATCGAACTACCGAAGATTTTGAAAAAAGTGCTTGCATGCAGTTAATAATAACGATGATTAAACGGTTTGCCGTATCTGGCAAAAATACGATATGTGGCTCAAGAGTGAATGGCTTTCATTGCTTCGGGAACAGGTATAGGTCATTATCAGTGCTTAAGCGCTGAATAATAGTTTCTATCGTGGATAAACTATTTGTGGCGTTAACAAAGAATATTCATGTTTGCGAGTGCAGGTGGCAGACAATCAATTTCCTCTTGTATTTGCACAATGTCCTATTACTTGTTCGCAGTTTCGAATCTTCGTTCTACAAATATTGCGGCGTTTTTTGAACACAACCGCAAATATCATTAACTCTCAGGATTGAAGTGTGTGATTCCAGCAATCATTAGCGGGTGTGCCGCGAAAACAAAGCAATTTCCGGTTCAAATTGTCCGTATTGTACCGACGTTAAAAATGATGTACTCAGCGAAGTACCGTAGAGGCGTAGACATAGAACATGTTGCATAAAGCTCAACCATGAATTTAAGGTCACCTAAAAAGTTAACAGTGGCACATTTCTAGTCACAAACAAACGCAGTTAGAATTTGTAAATGTTTCTTTCATCCTTGACTTGTTAGAATAATCGATATACGTATACGCTTTGAGTGGTTTCTCCGCTTTATGAATAATAAGACTCCAACGCTTTGCACGTGTACGTCAACTTTCTCAAAGAAGCAGCGATTTTCTTTCGTTCTTTTATAATAACCAATCCTCGCGGTAAAACAAAAAGTTCACGAACTTTGTTAATAATCCTACTTTTTTAAGCGGCTTAATTAGAGCACGTCAGAGCGGCTATTTAGGAGAAAACACTGTTTTGAACTCACGAGGCCGTCGGAAATGGAAAGTTGTTGTTGTAGGAGTATATATAGTTTTCATTTTATCAGTATTGAAGCAAATATAAGCTTTGTGCTGTATTCGCAAATTCTGTCGATCATGTTTGGGATGTTTCTTATAATATGTAAGCCAATTGAAGCGATTTTAGCGTTGCATGAAAATATACATAGTGAACCGTGCAAACTTAGTTGGCTGTCCATTGCTGTCACATGTTGCCAGGCAACAGCGACAGTGCACTGAGTTTTTGATATGAAACACGAATTAGACCGAAACAAATGGATTTGAAATAGGATATGAAATGGGTAAAATACTATTGTCTATATAGACTGCATGCACCTTTAATTATGACTCGAATTTAATCAACTTGTTTCGGTTCTGATCAAGGCAGGAATGTGACGGACTTTATACACCTGGCAGACCATAAACTTACATAATTATGCTGAGAAGGAAAAGGTCTTGTTTCATTTTTTTGCCTTTCATATCTTCATAGCTTCATATCGTGTGAGAAGAGTGCATGCAATTCTCATGATAGAAACGTAAACAGTCCTAAAATCGAGTGGTAAATTTTGTTGCGCAACATGGCCATGTAAGCTAGGAGTATGCAATACAAATGCTTGAAAAAACTTCGGAGCTCACAATCACAGAGTGCATGGATCTCTAATTTGCGCGTCCTGTTTGAGTTTAATCGATGTTACGCCAATCGGGCAACAGCTAGACGAATTTTCAGTGACGTTTCCGAAAATAACTTGGATCGATGACTCCATGAATGCGCTGATACAGGCGCGTTGATGTATTATTAACTTTATAGGTCATGCTTCCTGCATGGGTAGATTAATAAGTTCAAAATTACGGCTGAACGCAAGAGTAGACATATCTTCAAGATTCTCGAAAGAAATATATATATTACACCCGCATGCATGTATATCAGTTGCAATATATAGAAACGGAACACGACGTTTATATAAATCTAAATAACAAAAGAGAAAATTCTATATGCTGTATATGCAACCTTTCTTTGAATGAATTTGTCCATTTGTAAACAATTTCTGCTCAAACAATGCTGAACGTCTCCAAAACAATGGCGAGTTTTAATCCCCCCATTCTAATGAGATCTAGTTTATACGCATGTACGGGGGACGACTGCATACGGCGTTTTCATTTCAATTTGTGATGAGGAAAAGTATAATTCGCGTTTGTGGTTGGCCGTTTCTTCGAGAGGCAATATACAGCTAAGCTGCCAATATTTAAATTAATCATGAAATCTTGTATGCAGTGAAGAAGCGGACCGCAGGTGTGCAAGAATAAAATCTCACAACGCGATTTGATAGATGCGAATGTATTGAATATATACGCCGAAGGACCGTAATATAAACGGCCGTATACCGTTTGCCTTTATCGCGTTCCGTTGGTATAGGAAAGGTCATCGAGCATTTAAAAAAAGTTCGGCATGCGACTCCGGAAGTGAGTTGTGATCCACACGGAACTCATTTGGCCTGTACCCCATTCGAATTTGCACATATTAAATGGTTAATATAGTTTAATTTGATGGTAGCAGAATGCTATGACGGGCTACTGATGTGATATATTTTGTGTGACATACAATAACGCACGTCCAGTGGCACAGGTAACAATGACAGACGTGCTGTCGAAGATTTCAATCTATTCCACGACATCGTAAACGACATGGTAAGCAAATCATCGTATCATAACAACGTCTGTTGTCGTAAAGTTTACGGCTTATCAAGCGTGATTGTCAATGTCTATAACAACTATATTTTACCCATTTTAGCTCGCTTTTATACACAAAATCCTATACGATTTGGTCGTAGAGACATTTGGCGTGCAGAAATGGAACGAAATAAGGTAAAGAAGGGACAGGAATGCTCCTATCATCACACAAACACTGTATATATACATCGTGCATTGCTTCAGAATTGAAATTACTCAGTGTTGTAATTAGACAAGTTTGTGTATTCAAATCTTTTGGCCGAGTTTGTTCTTCATATAATGATGTCCGTTTGGATCTTTCGCCACAGGGACGAAGCGGGTCTCTCAGAGAACGATACAGAAGAGTTCTGCGACTCGGACAACCACGGAAAGGTCTACGAAGATGAAATGATTTGGAGAATTGTGAAGATCGCATCGCGAGTATTAGGTATGATAAATTGATAGCGGCAGACGACGGCTGTTTACATATGCTTTTAGTCGCCCGTTTGCTTGTTGCCTCGAGAACTATGGATATAAATTAATTAACAACGCAACATTCGCGACATACTCCGCACTCACATGTAGCTAAGGCTTCGCTATATATGATAAATCGTAACTTTCTTACAAAGACGAACATGCCGCTTAACTCACATATATACATCAAAAGGTGTGAAATAAAGCCTTTAGTCGCTATTGTGTCGAAAGGGGAATATGCTACACTGCAACATGTATAAACATATACATGCAACAACTTGCTCAAATAGGCCAATCATGTCTGCATGCGGGATACGGCATACTGCATGTGGATTTAACTACCGTACGATGTACACATGTTATCTTCAAAACGCCGGCATATATTTAATAATCGTCATGCATATACCGTATAGACTTCCAGTTTTAAAACGTAGATCTAGCTTCGTACACAAATTGCAAACTCGAGCCGCTAGCGGGACAAATGGTATTCGTGTCTTTTAGCATGTATCTTCGGGGGCACGATAGTCATTTTGCAAAGGCATCTTCTAACGATTTCCTGTGTAAACACCGTGAAGCAGCCAGCATGTTTTGAGCGGTGTTTTGACATGGGGCGAAAAGTGGTTTTCCAATTAAAACAGGCAATTAACAAGCGAGCGAGGAATCTTGGAGGGCACACAGTATGCGGTCATTACTCATTACCATTGAATCTGGGTTTTTAATTCAGGCTTTGCTTTATGAGATTGGTTTTCACGGCCCTTCGTTAATGAACATCGCATTCACAAAAACACCACGAAGACGGCGCTTATCGTCTTTTTCCACCGACATTTGCTTTCTCATTTCTCATTCTCTATCAGTGCAATTGACGCAATTATCAGTATAGGAAATTTGTGTATGTAACCTCGAATCTACATTGCAAGCTTTATAATTGCTGTAAAATTAGTTTTCGGTGCTAACTATAGGACGGTAAACTTGCATTTAAAACAGAGAATTTATTGCCCTTCATGGCAAATGTGTTTTATATACAGTCTCATTAAGGAACACTTAGTGCTTAATATATGACGACCGTTTGAGAAATTTGCATTGACTGTCATACATCTCAAATGTGCCGGGTCAAATTATTGCAGGCCGAAACTTTATATATATTAAGTAAAAATTACACAGAACAATTCTAGTCTAGTCTCCAATACATAGCTATATGCACTGTGAAATTGATTCTCCAGACTTAATCTATGCAGAGGAACAGGGTTTCAAGCCGTAAGGAATTTTGTAGATCACAAGAAAAAGTCTTTATACTTAATTGTCATGTATATAGCTATATCCACGCTTTTTATCATTTTTAAATTACAACTTTTTGCAAGACGACATCGAAGATGCATATTGCAAACAAAAATAAAAAAAATGCTTGGCGTTCACAATTTCAATTAAACTGAGTATCATTATCACTATTGGAAATTTTAACTGACAACTAGGCAACTGATATAGGCCACATTAAGCCCAAATTCACCTCATTTAGCGTATATGTATGTACATATTGAGTTCTCAACGCCGTATACTTAATCTTTTCATATAGACAGTAATAGTCTAAGTGTCTAACGTACACAAGAAAATAACAATTGTTATACTTTATTTCACGAATATTTCACGCATGGTAATCCTATCATAATTATGTTTTGGCTGCTTGGGACTTTGCATCACACCATCGGCTACACCTGCATCAGTACTTCTACGCCCTTGTTCTATTTTTGTTACCGACAACTTTCAATGAATTAAAAATACATTATACAGATAGCGGTATTTCATCGTACACATTATATATCGAAGCTACGGATCAACTTGATCCACTGTGTATGTCCATGACTACACCAAACATGGGGCAATTGTTTACCCTATAGTTTACGGATATATGCAATATTCTACCGCGTATAAACGCGTGTACAATTTCTTGCATCCACGGATGAGTTTATTTGACATGCAATACACATGTATACTTGTCATCACCTGTAACACCTTATTCGAATAACGAGTATTCGAATAATTACGACATGAAACCACTATTTAGAAACAGTACAAACAGCCACCGTCATATATAAAGTCACTCAACTGGCGTTTTTCATTGGCATGGGGTAAATTTATATAGCCTTGGCATACACATTTTTAAATTAAATATAATCTAAAAAATCCAAAGATGCACCCAACTTCATTTTACAGATTCCCACAAAGATAATATTGCACTGATAAGGCCACAGGAGTATACCGATAAAAATAATCATTATAAACTGCAGTTAAAAGTTTTATCAAACAGACCCCCCTTAGAAAGAATATAAAGAATAAACAAGAAGAAATTTTGGGCAATATATACGTTAATAGAAATCTTAATTAAAGAATACTTCTAACATAAATACTCTTTATTGTGTAGTAAGTATAGTTGTGCATCACCCTTTCAATTTTTTGATGTTGTGATTTCTCACCAAAAAGTTCACATGTCACATGCGGACAAAACGTGACTGTGTGATATCTCTCAGTGGATGCATGAAAATTATTTCTTGATATATTAGTATACAACTGCAATTTGAACTGTCTTTTATATCCTAAAATACTGCTTGCACCATAAGCACCAAGTACCATGCAAGTATATCTAGCTATATATGCACTTTCCATATTGCATTTTCTAAAACGCAACGTGGTCGTTCATCTCGGCAGTCTAACTCGCGCTGAAATTAATATATTTTGTATAATGTACCCATGAAACTGGTACATATACTGGTTCGGTATGAAACGTTGTTGATTACTTCAATTGACGAGGGCGAGGCAGAACAAACATGTATGTTTTGCTTCGAAGAAGGACGCGTCGGTAATTGCAGTGTGATTACTTTACTTGTATGTCAACTACAAAAGATGCGTAAAAAGTTTTAAGACACATTTCTAAGGTTGGAGAGAAATGAAGCTGGCCTAATTTGAATGGGAAACTGTGTACATTGGCTGGAACGCCTCCAGGAGTTGCCATAACTTCAAACAGTATCTCATTCAATATTTTGATGGCGACGACCTTTGTGGGCGAGTAACCTTAAGAAATTAATTTCGAACTTCAAACAAGGCCGATAATTACCGTAGCTATAAGGATTTATGTCAATAATAGGCTGAAAACGGTGTCACTGTATATAGATATTAGGTGGCAGAGATAGACAAGGGATATCACACTTTTTAATTAATTACATCATTATCGTCAAGTTGTCATGGCAACGAAATGAAGCCACAATATTAAAATGACGCGATTTAAAATCGCACAATTATGGAAGTGTCAAGTTTGATAATATTCGCTTCATATAGCTCGGTTTGTCGTCGGTGATTTAGAGATTCGTTTGTTGCAAGCAAAGTGTAATTTTCCAGTTAATTAAAATACTATAATGAACATACTTCGTGGCAAAGCCTTAGACACGTTTAGCAACATTCGCTTATTTTGTTTTCCAACAAGATAGTGCAATGCGATACGACGATGTCTTGCATATGCCATACGACGATGTCTTGCATAAAAAAAAACACAGCTTTATCGTGCTTTCTCGTGCGTTACCCTCACAACATAAGTCAATAAGACGCATTGACAATCGCTAAGCCTTTGTAAACACACATGAAAATTCCCATTGCTATAGTGCGCTGTCTTGGAAACGAGATTTTTGCCCTTAAAAAAGGCCAACTGTTCGTCACTACAACAATATTCAGTATCATGTTCGGGTAAATGCGCAGCTGTTATATTTGTATCTGGAATGAATAGGAATTTTGAAGTTGCGTTACCCCAAGGCCAGATTGTGTTGTGAATGACTTGAAACTCCGAAAATCTGTAGACCACTCAAGTGAGGCCGTGCCATGGAGGGCAGCAGAGATTTGCCCCCAGAACCTGGTGTCCCCGGAGGCAACCGAAGGCAGCGCTGTCCCTTTTATATCATTTAGCAACATCGTACATTCACCCGCCATTATTTCCAATTTCTTTACCTCGTTTATAATTACGATGCGCGTTAGAACTGTACATTAGAATTTCCTGGTGATATCATTAAAAATGCATTCTTCCACGGACCTGCAAGCATTCCTTATCTGCAAATTAAACTGACGAGCGTTGTGAATATGTTAGGCTGACGAGCGTTATGAATGTAGCTATTGCATATCTATTATTGATTCATATATCATTCAGCTAGTTAGCGCCGTAGATACCACTTTACTATTCAAGGCAATTTCCCGATAAAATAAAGTAGGCGTGTTCGTCCGAGAGGTGCTTTCTAGCAGAATGATAAAAATATTATCTTCAAATTTCAAATTGCTGTTAATTAATGCAATATTCCTACAATACACGCACCAATCGAGGCCAAAAGGGTTAAATAGTGAATGGATTCAATTGTTAACATTCAGACGCATACGGTGGCATACTTTTATCAAGATCATTGTGTAACCGTATAGGTGTTCTATTGTATATTAATAATCATTTCAATGCTATATTTTGAATTCAAATAGCTTCCCAGTATAACACTATAAACAAAGTGCAATTCTTAAAGCATTGCACGGCAAAAGCTCCCCAATTGCTGATAATTCCAGTTTCGTAGCTACTTATGTTGGTTTTTTCTATAGCATAATTATTTACATTAGAAATGAACGTAGCTACGTATATTTACTAGTATATAGCAGTTTTTGTTTTTGGATTATTAATAGATTACAAAAATCTACTTTCGCACAAAACTTAAATAGACATTATATCACTCAGGATACGGAGGAGTCGCGGTGGTAACCAATAATTAGCCGATAGAATCAGATTGCGACCACGACTGCGATATCGGCCTGTACAAATCTATACCACTTCATTCGCTGATTCTTTTGAAAACGTAGCGTGGTATAATTTACAGTTATTACAGAAAAGCCATGATTTACAGTTACTATAGAGAGGCCAACAGCTCCTATCTACGATTTCTAAGCTATGTATAATCATGCAGGCATGCAGTTATGACGTTCATCATGATCAAATTAATCGAGCTAGGAATCATTAGCAGTTAACTTAAAACTTATTCCTCATGCTCAGACAATATTACCTGAAATGTTTCAACTCGATCAAACATTCATTTAACCACAAAATACTGCTTCGGATCTGCGTGTTAAAACAATACGTCTATTCTAAAATCTCGGTTAATTTGAGTTCTGAAATGCAAATTCTTTTTTCAGACACGCCAGAAGACGACTTGTTGGATGCGTTCGGAGTAAAATTTGTAAACGTGAGCTTCAATGATCATCAGAAAATGTTAACATCACTCGGATGTTCATTACACACTATGCTGAACAACCTGGATCACATGCACCAAGTTTTCAAAGAGGCGAAGAGGTATGACGGCATGAGAGCGCCATCGTTTACCTGCGAACCAGCTGATAAAAAGGGACATGTCCTCACAGTACATTATTTTTCCGGGCGAAGGGGTTTGGAGAAGTTTGTTTGCGGAGCATTAAGACAATGTGCCAAAGTGTTATGCGATGTAACTGTAGTTGTAGACGTTTTCAAGAAATTCGATCCGGAAACTGGGTGCGTGACATTCAAGATTGAAAGTTCAGATGTGCCGCTGACTGACCAAGTCAATGATGAAGTTCATGGAATAAAACGCAAGAAGTCCTCAAACGTCAAGGATCTCCCGATTAACATGGAGACATTTTGTAAAGCCTTTCCGTTCCATATTATCTTCAACCGAAATTTTGAAATTGTGCAAATGGGAAGCGCACTCGTGCGAATACTCGGTGGAAGCCTTTTGAATCAAAACAATCGATTAAGTGACTACTTTCAACTGGTTAGGCCGGATATTGAGTGGAGCTTTCGTTCAATTCAAGCACAATGCAATTCATCATTTCTGCTCCATCTTAACAGTGCAGTTTCCGAGAAAACACAACGAGTTATGAATCTCACAGGACAAATGATCCACATGCCCGAATCGGAGTGCATACTTTACGTTGGTTCCCCAGTTGTGGAAAACCTGGATCACTTGCGCAAGCAAGGATTATACATCAGTGATATTCCAATCCACGATGCGACTAGGGATTTGATTTTAGTAAGCGAACAGTCAAAGGCGCAAGGCGGTCTAAAGAAACGACTGCAATCACTGAAGGCGAAAGTACAAGAGACGTCCGCGGAACTTGAACATGAGAAAAAGAAAACTGAGGATTTATTAGAAGCAATTTTCCCCAAAGAGGTTGCACAGCAACTTATTCATAAGAAACCCGTAGATGCGCAGACAATCGAGAGCGTTACGATGTTGTTCAGTGATCTTGTGGGCTTCACGGCAATATGTGGAAAGTGCGTCCCCATGGATGTCGTGAATATGTTAAGTGCTCTGTACACGAAGTTTGACACGAGATGTACAGAATTAGAGTTGTATAAGGTACGTTCTGATTATATCCTCAATTTTTGAGTTCTTTTTCGCACAGTATCTTTCCTTTTATATTGAAGGAGCGGGGTTTAATGACTTTTTTTTTCAATTGACACTATGACAGTTTACGATGACCATGCAGGATGGGGTAGGGGGATGATTGCACATTGTATGAATTAAATTTTCAACAAGTTCAATTCTCTATCAAATGTCTGATAACCACTATGATGGCACGTTACACATTAAGGACGAATACTGCATTCACACTTTCAATCGTTTTGAACAGGTTGAGACAATTGGTGACGCATATGTCGTAGCAGGTGGATTGGATGTTAAAATGACCGACCATGCTTATCGTATAGCGCTGATGGCGCTTTCTATGATGGAATCCGCGGCCCAGGTGGTCTCGCCAGAGAATAAGCCCCTGCGCATGCGCATTGGCATTCATACTGGATCCGTCGTGACTGGAGTTGTTGGAGTGAAAATGCCACGGTATTGTTTATTTGGGAATAACGTTACTCTTGCTAACAAGATGGAGTCGGGAAGTGAGGCTGGGAAAATTAACGTGAGTCCGGCAACATACAAGTAAGTGTATAAATCTTTTGATCAGAATATCTTATATTTTGGATTTAGATGAAAGGCTCTAGGTAATAAAAAAGAGAACCACATTTGTATGCACACTATAACATGGTGGAGAGACTATTCTTTATCCCCCCAACACAGTGTTGTTTAAGTTCATGCCTCACATTCGAGCACATGAGAACACACGAAGATAATTTAACTATAACTATATTAGCTAGTGTTTTCCATGTACCAAGTTCTAGGTCTAATAATAGTTATTTAGGTAAGATGATTGGTTATAGTTGTTATAGATTGGTTATAGACTTTAGCCTCTTGAGGCCAGCATGATTTGTATCACGAAACGTGCAAACAAGAAGAAATTCCATTGAGTAAAATATGGCTACCCGTACCCGTATACCAAACCGGGGTGTCTTTAGCTCTCTAGTTCTAGAGGAAGCTGTACGTGTACGGATAGATCCTACTATCTACAGAAACCAACGCTGGTTTATTGCATGCATCATATGCAACTCAAACCTCTGCTTCTTCCAGGTATTTGAAGTCGTTCAACGCGTTTTCCTTCGAAATGCGCGACCAAAGTGTCTTGCCAGATGCATACCCAAGGTGTGGTAACGAGACGTGCTACTTTCTCACCAGAAAAGCAAGCAGTGCCGGCAAAAGTAAAATGGTGGTCAAGGTAACGGTCACAGAAGAGAATGCTCCACCAAATCATACTTTGGAAAAGATAGAAGAGAGTAAGAAAAACAATCCATATAATGAAGTTAAATTAACACCGGCGGAATCAAACAACAAAGGTAACTCACATTGGCGTCCAAGACAAGCCACGGTGAAAAATTCTTAAGCTTATTGACGGTATATTTATAATATGATATTTATGTTATATTTATGACAGTGATCAGGTGGGACCTTACTGTATTTATTGAGAAAGTTAATTGTTTTCAGTTCGCTCACTTTATCACTACTGAGTAAAAAAAATTCGCTTATCAGTAAAAGTACGGCTTTTCAGGGGGGGATGCCATTTCTAGAAGACTCGTTAGGTAGTTGCTATTATAATTCCCTTAATCGTCTGTGGGAGGTACTCTGGCAAAAATGGCCAAATCCTTCTGGCGTCGCATTTGCTCTGGAACGATTCTCTGTTATCGTTCAACTTGGTGATGTTTTCTCTAAAATATGCTTAAAAATCATCAAATTTATTATCAGAACATAGAAGCAATGAATATCGATAATAGTGGTTTAAATGTTGACCAGTATAACTTTAGAATTTCGAAGGAACATGAGAAAGTGTGAATATTTTCGATAAAAGTGTTTCAATATAAAGTGTAAACTGTCAACAGTAAGTGGAGAAGAAATAAAACAGCCTTGATTTACTCCGCATGTTATTTAGTATTTTCTCAATGCTAGTACAACACGCTGTCGCAGACCATGGTTGCCATGCATATTGTACGTCTACTGTTTCCAACAGTTGCCATGGCAGGACCAAACAATTATAAACTAAAGCGTTGCATGAACTATTTGTACAACTTTGATATAATATTTGCTTAAGTTATTGGAGCAGTTGGATGTCAAAATTAATCTATCTTTCAATTACCATCGCTAGATACATAATGAATAATTCAATTGTTCACTGCGAAAATTTTATTTCGATATATAGTACTTCTCGAATAAGTTGTCCAGGCCAATTTAATTTGCTTGAATGTCCTCAGACTTTACGACGAAAATATATTTCGTTGACGCTTTCTAATTCACAAAAATTAGAGAAATTTAACGAGGATTTTGTGTGAACGTACCTTATTTCGTTGGTTTATTGCTGCACTGAGACTCGACGAATGTGCATGCGTTTACAAAAAATATACTATTCGCCATTTCAGGATATTTTTATGTTACTCAGACCCCCTAACGAAGCAGTATGTTGTATTTTTTTCAGGGAAAGTTAAGGAGCGTTCACCACGTCGTTGGGAAACACGGTTTTGTTCACTCACGTGACCTGACTTAAGCCCGAAATGGAAATGAATAAAGTGACTCCGCAACCTAACTGCGTCATGAACGCATTTCCTCTGTGAAATCAAATTTACGGGTACCAATAGTTCCAACCGTTCATTTCTGAAGTAACAAACATATTCAGCGCGTTGCAATAACTGAACTTCACCCTGAGTGAAAAGTATCAGCAGCGAGCAAGTAGTAGGCTTAGGGCAACTCGTCGACTTGAGAATGGTATTGTAATAATATAAACTCCAAATTTAATAATATATATAATTACGTTTTGTATATATTGCTTGTGACAGGAGGCAAAAATTGACTAACTAAAATTATGCTTAAACACACGAATATAGGTTCATGCCATACAAATTTTCTTACATAATGCATTAGTTGGCAGGTTATAATCATCTTTGTAGACCTACGTTTTCACTGTATAGTTTAATACATCGGCTAACTGAATGTCTCATTTTGAGCTCGCCATATCTCATATATCGTGTACTTATACTTGTATGTAGATATTAATTAATGCAAATGTTAAACAGCGGAACGCAATTATATGTACAACTCTGCAGGGGAGGAGTTTTGAGGTTATTTGCACACGTTATAACTCTCACGCTGACACGATCTTGAGCTCGCATTTTTGAAGATATTAGCATTATGAAAAAAAAAACATTGGTTTTGTTATATATGCATGTTGATAGTTCTGATAATGTCCATAGGCGTGAAACACAAAGGGTTTTCAGGGATTTCGGTGTTTCACAAACTGTATGGTAGTTTTGTATACAATAATAAGCAACTTCTCAATAATATTTCCTCTATTCATGAGCTATATATGGAGTGCAGCGCTAATCCTATATCGGCAATTATTCCGTTGTATTCTTATCAATTATTTAGAAAATATTGATGTAATTTATAACAACTTTTGGAAATTCTCTAGTAAAATTGCAATGTCGATGAAAATCAGCTTGAAATGATAATGAGATTTGTAACTGCTATCGTACAATTTGGATTATAGTTAAATATGATATAAACAATGGCTGTTTAATATCATTGACGAACATCAACATCATCGCGAAGGCAGCAGACCTTCTCAGCTTGTATATAAAATATTAACCATTTTAACGCACGTGATCTTCAATGACGAATGAAAATTGGCAATTCCGAAGCATGCATTTTAAGTCATTAAATGGTTTAATTATTCTTGCAACCAAACATCTATATTAAGCGGTTGACGCATATTTGGGTCATTATTTATTTATTCATAAGAGTGATGTGACACCAGTTGGGAATATGCTATTTCTCCCATGTAGAACGGCAAACGTGTTAAAGCAATACTTAGTGCAAACTCTGTGGAACTTAAGTCTTATAAGTGAGGAAACAAGATACATGCAAATAACCGCATCTTTTAAACGCTGGGCTTTAACAGTATTTTGGAGTTGCTGTCATAACGTTGCTCTAAATATAGGAAAACTTGAAATCGAGATTGTCAATCACACTGCTGTGCCAATTGTAGACGAGTCATATTTCGGTATTTTAATTGCCTTCTTGAATGCTGAAGTAAATGCTGTTCAAACAAACATTCAAAACTCGCTTTCGTTTGATGTCTAGAAGTTATGGCAATAACGCAACGCTTAAACAGGAAGGTTCTTAAAACCAAATACTTTTTATATTCATCAATATGAAAGAAAACGAAAAAAATATAATTTTGAACAGCAATTAATTTAAAAAATTTCATTTTACCACAACTAAATTAAACCACAGATTAATTACGTTATTGCATTTTATGAAATTATGCTAAGTTATTTTAACACCATAATTGGTAATTTGTAGAATATGAAATTGCTGTTGCTCTGTTGTATAACATGAAGCTCTAAAAAATGTCCTGTACAAGTTGTTAGCAATGAACAACCAGGGAATTCTTTACCTGCGTAAAATATCAGCAGTTTTAAAAAGTTGACAGTCGAAATACTTTGTTTGTCTCGTTGACCTGTAATGACCTGCTGTCATATCAATAACGCCACGCTGCATGAAACTTGATAAAATATGTTGCTAAGAAACATGGTCATAAGTTTGTACTTTCTCGTAAAATTAGGCCTGTGATGTAATTACATATGCAGATGATAATACGTCGAATTGCGACAACTCCTTCATTCTGTCGATTGGAAGTGGAAGCTTGCAAACCATACACTTACACCATAATCGTATAGCTAGGCAAATTATGCATATTCTTTTTTTTGACATTTTACGCATCCGAATAAACATGCATGATTTATACCGCTGTTCAAACGCATCAATCGTCAATGCTAATTATATATCGCTGGCTTCAATTACCTACCATTCTCAAGTTTAAATATAGCCCTGAATTTTTTACGTGTCGAAAAGAATAAGGAGTCACTTTGATCATTCATTTCCATGTGCTGTGAACAAGATTGTGTTTCGTTCCCTTTTTGGCACGTAGGTCGCCATGAAATTAACAAATTGGCAAAGGCAGAATGATTTCGAAGAATCTGATCTATATAGAAATAGGTGAAATGTAATGCTAAAAAATCAGCACTTTGAAAAATTCTCAAATGTTCCCAACAACAAAATGGGTTTGTTTTTTTAAAAGCAAAGAGGTTAATCTTCAAAAATACCACTAGAGACACATATACATATAGTTGTGGCAGCGTTGTGCGTCAGTTTTGAAGTAATGCCTAGCCATCATAACGCATCATTCTTACATTGATTGTTTTGGAATGGTGGTAATAAGTTAGGTTTGAAATGAAATAATTCGTTGCCTTATATCCTTGCCGAATATGTAGAGATTCCATCCAAAAAAAGGAGTAAAAATAGGAGTTGTATATGATGTATTTATGGAACTCAATTTTCATCCAAAAATATTCCAACTAATTATCGAACTAATCATAGTAGCACGTATTTCAAGTTATATACGATTTAAAAGGCTACTTCAACTACATTATTTGGTTCATTCTCTGAATAATGCATTACTGGTTGGCTGGTGGGCTTGGAGGTGGACTCAGTTGAATGTATTCTGCGACGGCATCCAACAATAATTGCATCTGTTCTGGCATGTTGCAAATTGTAGGTGAGATGCGTATACCACTTGTACTGGCTACCGCGATTCTATAACTTTGGTACAAATAATTATAGAGGTCCGCGCCCCACTGAAAGGAAAAGTAAATATCAAATTAGAACTTTTCGAATTAGAACTAATGTAAAAAGTAAATTTCCCCCCAATGGGACAAAAAGTACAGTAAATATCAAGACATTTAAAAAGACTTCTACTAACGAGACAAGAATATTTTCCATTGCAATTGTTCATTGACTTTCTTTTAACATTAGTCAATTATAATTCGACCTAAAACAACATAAATATATGTTTAATATTTCAACTTACATCAGGGTCCACCCCTGCAATAATCACACCAATGCGTTGAGATAAATTTGCCGGTGTTGTCATGGGGAAATTTGGAAAATTTTTGAAACCATCGTATACCAATGTGCCCAGGTAGCGGACCCGCTCTTCAATTGCATGGAACCCAATTTCTCCCATAATCTCTGCAGTGTTCAGCATGCACATCACACTGGGGTCTGCACGCTGACCAAGGGTTTCGAATCTGCGGGCATCTTCGTAAAGCTCCTCGGGGGCGATAATCTTCATGTCGTAACCATAGGTGTTTGGGACAAAGTTTGGAATACGAGCCGACTTCATGTAAAGCATTCCAGTTTCTTTGGGACCCAAGAACCACTTGTGGCATGATGCTGAATAACTAAAAAACAACAGGTTGTTCAAAATTAATGCACTCTTCATAATCATAAAGTTGTACATAAACTACATATGACAAAAAGGACTGTGGGATTTAAATAATATTTGAATGAATAATATTTTAATTTAATAATATGAATTTTCAATTTTATGACTTGTGTTCACTAGTATTGACAGCACAAACAAGTGAAGCAACATTATATCGTGGGTGGTTGTAATGCTTTTTAATCAGTAATGCTTCGCAGGTTTTCAAAAAGTTCTGGTCATAATTATACCATAATCATAATTATACCTGTCACAATCCATCTGAACTAAATTCAAGTCCATGCAGCCCCATGTTTGCGCGCCATCGACATGCACATGACAGTCTGGGTATTGAGCATGGACAGCTTTGCAAATTGCTTCAGCCGGCAACAGACGGCCACCAACGTTGGAGAGATGGGAAAATGTGACAAACTTTGTGTTCTCGTTAACCAGCTTCATGAACTCAGCTAGGATTTCGGTGTCTGTTGACGCCCCATTTAAGTCGGATGGTATGTTGTGGATCACGAATGGTCGTTGAGCCTGACGGAAGAACCAGGCACGCCCATTTGAGGGATGATTTTGCTCCCAAAGGACAACCTATCAAAAGTACAATAATTATTATCAAAATATAAAAACAATGAAATATAAAGGTATTCAACGTGAAACTAGCCCTTTCTTTGACACATAGACATATAAGGCCCGTTTACACTACAGTCAATTTATCGGCACGGCACGGCTAAAATGGGTACCCGTGCCCAATTTTACTAGTGCTCAGGCTTCCAAAACAAAGGCCGGGCACGGATGAAATGGGCACGGGTACCCCTTTTAGCCGTGCCGTACCAAAAAATCGAGTGTAGTGTAAACGGGGCTATAGAGATATATAGAAACCGAAATTCAATGAATATGGCAAAGCAGGACTAAAGTCTAAAACAAGCAGCAAGAATTTCGTAAATGGTTTTCATCCACATATTCTAGGTATAATCTAATAGAAACACGGGAAATGTGGGTATGGGGGCCATGTTGATCTATATTGTCGGGGCATCGGTATGAAGGTGCACCATCGAAAATTAGATAGGGATTTTCATTTTTTATTCGTTAAGGCGGTTTCCAGTGTTTCGAGGGATTCTTTGCTTTTCCCACCTATTCAAACAGCGCAATGATACGACTGACACACCGTTTGGTCGTTCTTCAGTTTGACAAAGCGAATATATCATTCCCCTCTATAGTAAAAAGCAAAAATAACTGACAAACAAGCTCAGTGATAACCTCCAGCATGTATCATACCTCGTCAGTTGGTTTCAGTATTTGACCATTGTTGATATTGTTGTTAGCCTCGGTTCCGTTTCGCATGAGAGCTACTTCCTGCGAGGTAACTCCAAGTTGTGTTGCGATCAGATCACGCGCTGAATCAATTACCAAACTAAGAACTTCAACACGATTCTGGATGGAAATATCCTCGTTCAACTCAAGATTATACTGATTCATCAGCAGCTGCACGTCGTTAAAAGTTGGGGCGAAGTTGGCAGCGTTGATTGGAATGGCATCGTTCGCCTCCGTCTCATCGTAAGCGAACATGTTACGAATACCTGCATGAGAATGATAACAAAAATTGTTGGTGTTGGTGCTTCAAAAAGATCAAAATCTACACCCTGAGCACACTAAAGTTGGTTGGCTATTATTGTTTTTAGTATATTTATAAACCAAATCAGGCTTGCATGAATATCGCTGGATAAAAACCTCGACTTCGTCTCGATAGTCTATATCATCTCGCCATCGGCGAATAATTAAATGATACATCGAGTTGTTTAAAATTTAGTTTTGTAAGATCATGCGAAACCTGGTTTCCAGTCGTATAATTATTGTGAATATGTGAAGGTTTTTTGATGCATTAGGATTTTCTACGAGTGTTCAACAAAAATAACCAATTTCCCTGCGCAGATCTAGGATTTTTCATACCTTTATACGCATGACGTCATACATGCATGATGGTAATACTGTGGTGTTTATTCACAAAATTACACACCTAAATGACCTAATCACGGTGTCTTGTAGATATAAATTTACATATTTCTGCGCTGCCGGATCAAAGGGTTGCTATATATGAATAATTATATTATGAATAACTTAATAGGATATGAAAGACACAAACTTAATGTGTTCACTTTTAGTTACTTAGTTATTATTCCGTATCCAGGTACGCCGGAAAAGGGGGTGGCAGCAGGGGCAACTGCCCCCCTTGCCTTTTACCAGCAGGGGCAAGGGAGGCAAAAATGCCCTTTCATTTTAAAAACCGATTAATTACATGCATTCTATATCCGAAGTAGAAGTGCCAAAAACGAGCATCAAGAATAACACAATCGTCTAGACACACAAATTATCTTGGGAAGAGAAATCACGACGATACGAAGTCAACTAACGATGTTTTGCAAACATTCTTTATTAATGCGCCGCTACAGGAGTACACTTTCACCAAAATCTGCCTTCCTTGCCCTCGCATCGTTCCGGCGTCCCTGTCCGTATCCCTGATGTATATCACATGTACAAATACGTTCATAAGAAAATTATGAATGAATATACATCATGAAAAAACTTTAAATGGAAGAGCTAAATGTTTTCTGGAATACAAAACTTAAAACTTAAACGGGCCAGCTTAGTCTCGATATAAACGCCAAAAAATGAATCTAACTTACCGGGCTGGCCCGGTGAGCGGGTAACTAACAGCTGTAGCATGGAACACAAAGATCGAACGTCGCATAAATAATGCGAGTACTGCAGGTCATTTAGACACTCTAAATCGTTCGAATGACTCGTAAAAGCGCGCCGTAACCATTAGCATCACCTGGGCCACATATAACTATAGCTTATGGCGAGATATAATGCTCCTCCTTTGCTCTGTGATATTTTAGCGTCAGCAGAAATATTGATATTATAAGTTAAAGCTAAGATTCAATTTTTGTGCGTTTTAGACAAGAAATTTTATCATCATCAGCAAAGTAAACTAATATAATTTTATGTAAGATCCTTCGAAAAAAGGTTGGGTGAAATAAAATAGTGTAGTAATTCGCCTGAAGTTCTGCTGTTCTAGCGGTGAAACCAATGCTATATCCATGTCTCAAACTGGGGGCTCGAGTCCAAGAATTTCAGATTTTCATTATGTCTTTCGAGAAAAAGATAAAGCAAATCAAAGAACCATAGCCGTTCAGCAAAAGATCTTGTATAGTCTAGTGGCTAAGACAATGGTCTCCCAAGTGGTAAATCGATGGTTCGAATCTTACCATAACCGTTTTTCATTATGAACTTCGTGAAAAGGAGAGAATAAATTAAATAACCAAAAACCGTACAGCACAAGATTTTGTAGTGTAGTGGCAAAAACAATGGTCTCCCAAGTGGTAAATCGATGGTTCAAACCCTAACGTAACCGTTTTTCATGATCAACCTCGAGAAAAGGATAACGTAAATTAAATAATCATAGCCGTTCACCACAAGATCTTGCAGTCTAATGGCGAGGACAACTGTTTTTCAAGTCGTAAATCTATGGTTCGAATCCTATCATAACCGTTTTTCATTATGAACTTCGTAAAAAGGATAAAGTAAATTAAAAAACCATAGCCGTTTCAGCACAAGATCTTGTAGTGTAGAGGCGAACCCAATGGTCTCTCAAGTCGTAAATCCATGGTTTGAATCCTTCCATAGCCGTTTTTCATTATGAACTTCGTGAATACGATAAAGTAAATTAAATAACCATAGTCTTTCAGCAGAAGATCGTGTAGTCTAGTGGCTAACACAATGGACTCTCAAGTGGTAAATCGATGGTTCGAATCCTCCCATAACCATTTTTCATTATGAACTTTGTGAAAAGGATAAATTCAGTAATTTAAATAACCATAGTCTTTCAGCA